GTGATGGTGTGCAAGTCCACTGCGAAGCTCTGGCAATGTCGTATCCCTAGAAACTCTCCCCTTCTCTCTAGTTTTTGGAGCTCAATTGTTTGGTTGTAATCTTTTCCTCTCCCTTCTCCCAAATTTGTAACTAGCTCCAAGTCGAACCTCGGGCCCCGGCCCTCCACCCACCAGATATGTCTGGAATCTGTGGTCATCATTCAGCATTATCAATATCCCCATAAGAAGCAAAGTAATAGGAATTCCCAGCACTTTCATAGCTTCGTTCTGTGAGGAAGCTTGTGTTCTGTCCTTCTGGCTGCAATGCAGAAGAAAAATGTTGAACATATGCTTTTCACATGCCCTCATGCAAGTCAGGTATGGACAGCAGTAGGTCTGACACTAAATCAAGGGACAAACATGGCTACATCTTTATTGACTCTAGAGCAAAATCACACACATCAACCAGGCTCTGAACTTGCAACGGCAATAATAGCAGTGGCCTGGAATATTTGGTTGGCAAGAAATATGAAAGTCTTTGATAATGTTACAACCTCATGTTCAGCAATAAAAAATAACTCTGTACAAACATTAGAACTCTGGAAACATAGAACCAAGAAAGAAGCAAGGAGAATAGCTATCGAACCATGGACACAGAATTGGGAACAAACAGCTGGAAGTTCAGAAACAACTTCAGACTGAGATGATCAAGCTGGTTTTAGATTGTACCGTGTTCCTTCTTCTTTTATCTTTACTTTTGTTTTTATTTTCTTTTCCTCTCTCTTTGACTTCTTTTTTCTCTCCTCTATTTTTCTGCTGTTCTCCTTCTCTTTTCTTTGCCACCTTGGCATTGCATAAAAAAAAGGGCGTACCCAGTGCAGAGAGCTCCCGCTCTGTGGGGGTCTGGGGAAGGGTGTAAGTGGCAAGCCTTACCCTCGCCTGTGCAATGCGAGGAGACCGCGACTCAAACCGGGACCTTCCGGTCACAGGCGGTAAGACTCTACCGCTTGCACCAGGCCCGCCCTTCCCACCTTAGCATTGCATATGTACAATTATTTTTCATATTAATACAAATTAGGTAGGGGCCTCCCCTCCTGACTTCCTCAAAAAAAAAAAGGAAGCTTGTGTTCAATTTAGCCAATATTTTGCGTATTTTTGGATTCTCTCAGAAATCAAGAGTGGTGTCTAGTTCAATAGTCTTGCATATAACAGTGCCAGTTTTTTCATATAAAGAAAATCAGCATCGCATGCCAGAAGACCTGATTCCAAGAAAATGTAAAATTTTGCAACAAAGGGGTTGTCTAAATAATCGTTGCAATGGGTAAAGAGGGAGGAAATGACACTAGTAGCAGATTAAGGTGCCATTTGGATCCTAAGGGACTTTGAGAATTCGGATAAAAAGAATCCCAACAGTTTTATTGGATTTCGAGATTCTAAAAATTGGAGAGTTAAAATCACTATATATCTAGACTGTTTGGATGAGAATCTAGGATTTTGTGCCGGATTCTCAAAATCCGGAGGATCCAAACGGGGCCTAAATAATGCAATACATCAAACTTGATTCGGTCACTATCTGCTTACATTACAGCATTCGGCATTATATAAGGGGTTTCTTATAGAAATTTCCTCCTGATCCGCCCCCGCCCCCGCCCCCGCCCCCTCCCCGCCCTGTGGTGGTGTTCGTTTGAATATCGAATAGTTTAAACAAATTTAATCGATCCCATTATGGCATTATGTACAGCTTAATGTGTTCAATCCCAACCCCGCGACGCTAGAACTTGGGCCTCATCGTCACATATGAAGACGGGAATCCACGAAAAATCATCCCAGATAAACCAAACTACCAACGAACCCCGAATTCGCGGGGCTAATCAATCAACGTTGCGCGCACCTGTTTCTTGCGGCTATCACCGCCGGAGAAGAGGCAGTAGACGCGGCCGGCGCGGGCGAAGGAGCGGAGACTAAGGCGTCCAGGGATACTGGGGAATCGACCGGCATCAAAGGAGGGGAGGACTCCGTCGCGGAGGCGAGGGGAGGTCGGAGGAGGCCGCGCAGGCGACATTGCTGCCTCGCTCCGTAGCTAGAGTGGCGTGGGTTTGTGTTGGAGAGTTTTAGCTGTGTACCGGCTCTTTTTCTCTTCCCGGTGGGCCAAGCTGTAAGTGACCTGGGCACCTTCTTCCTCCTCAATCTGTCACCCGAGCTGGATGCTGCCCGCACGTAGCTCGGAGGCGAGGATGACGGCGTCGCTGTGGAGGTAGAGGGTGAAGTGGCTGGTGAGGTTCAAAGGCCCCGTGAGCCACTTCCCGGCGGGCACGGAGCGTTCACATCGCCATTGTTGCTCTGCTGTGCACCTCTGCAGGGGCAGGGCTGGAGACGAGGAGCTGGAGACGAGGGCTGGAGCCCGCTGCGCATGCGCGGAGCCGCTATGTTTTCCCATGCGCCCGCCCGCCGCTATGTTTTGTTTGCATAGGAAGAGGTTTTTGACCTTCTTTGACTTGAGACAAGTCTTGGCGCCATTCGCTGTGTCGCTGGCTGCTGCAGCTCCCTTGCTTGCTTGTTTGCATAGGAAGAGATGCGGCTCGACCTTGCTTTGCTTGCCAGATGTCACGCCGCACCCCAAGGCTGCAACTTAAGCAGTAGCAGCATATCAGCCGTTTAAGATACCAGACATCAGAGCTAATTTCTTTTCCATTCTTTCTCCCTCATGTGCTCTCGGTCTCTGTTTTTTTTTAGAAGAAAAGGTAACGAGTAGGGAATAGTTGGCCCCATTTTTGGCTTTCACCGCGAGAGAGGCTGACACGGCAAGTTGCTCCAAGAGACGTGCGGATGGAATTTTCTTAATACACTTGTTTGTTAAGTACAAAACTAATACAAAGTTGTCTAATGATAGATCAACTTTTAAATTTCATTCCACCAGAAAACAACTTTAGATAGAAATCGTACGACGAAAAGGCAATTATATTTTTCATAAACGAAAAATGATTTCCTATAAAATACTCCCTCTGTCTCTAAATAACTATCGTTTTCGTTTATCGAGAAATAACTTTGACTAAATATATATAAACAAATATTAATATTTATGATACAAAATTAATATCATTAGATGGATCCTTAAATTTATTTTTATAATAAATTTATTTGAAGATATAAATGTTAGCACGTAGTATTTTCTATAAATCCAGTCAAACATATGGCACAGAAAACCAAAAGCCACAGTTATTTAGGGACGGATGGAGTATTTATTCTAGTAGAACGATATCTCCACCCATTGAGCAAGTATAATAAGGGGTTGTAATAGGTTGTATGCTGACGTGGAGAGAGGAGAGGAGAGAGAAGAGAAGTGGGCTACAAGCTTTCTCCAAAATAAAACAGAGACCAAGAGCACATGAGGGAGAAAGAATGGGAAAGAAAGTAGCTATGATCTTAGCCATTGCTGTATAAGTATCTTGAACGGCTGAGAGACTTGCTCTTCACGTTATTTCTTGATTTCTTTTTACCAATAAACAAAAATCTAGGAATCTCAAAAAAATCCTGGTCCCTTCAAAAGATATTAAAATTCTAGACACGTTTGGTTCTATCTGGCATCAGATTTTGCAGTTTAAAAGTGAAATTCTTCTTGTAATGCTATATTTGAGTTTTCAGTTAAATTCTTCTTGTAATTCTTCTTGATCTATCATTAGACAACTTTGTATTAGATGAGAACAAACAAGTGTATTAAGAAAATTCCATCCGCACGTCTCTTGGAGCAGCCTTCAGCCTCTCTTGCAGTGAAAGCCAAAAATGGGGCCAACTATTCCCTGGGCGTTACCTTTTCTTCTCCGCCTAAAACAGGACCGAGAGCACATGAGGGAGAAAGAATGGGAAAGAAAGTAGCTCTGATCTTAGCCATTGCTGGTATCTTGAACGGCTGAGATGCTGCTACTGCGCGTTGCCGAGCCGCACCCGATCATGGAGGCCCGAACCTCGAGAGCGCGCCGCGCTTTCCATGCCGACCGGCTGGACACCGATGCCAAGATGAGATCCTGAGCGAGCCAGCTGCTGGAGCCTTCTTCGTGCGTGGCAAGGCGGTGGGCGCCCGCCTCTGGTGCGCTGCGTGCACCAGCGGCTGTTGGAGGATGTGCGCGGCAGCTCTCGGGAGGCGCCGAGCCAGCCGGGTGGTGAGGTGGGGGAATCGTGGAGATGGAGCCGCTTGCACCAGCGGCGGCTGTTGGAGGATGTGGGGGCGGAGGCGCGAGACAACAGGGGGAATCGTGGAGATGGAGCATTGGGACTTTTTTCCAGCAGACACCGTCACCGGTGAAAATAGACGGAATGGCTTAGAGAAAAATAAAATAAAATGTTATTTCTTCTGTATGTGTTCGAATTTTTTAGTGACCTATATAAAAATGTTATTTTTTAATGGTGCACGGATAAAACTCTCTTTGTGCTGTGTCCAGCCTATCTTTCGCCTTCGCAATGGACCTCGTGTGCGTAAGTGCGTTCTTGTGAACGATCTCTTCTGTCCTCTCTTGTGAGGCTGACAGCAAAATCACGATGTATGGCACGTAACCTCAGCAAACAGATTCAAGCAGATTCAGTATATTTTCCAATAGACAACACTACGAGTATATTTTCCAATAGACAACACTACGATAATAGTAAGACAACACTACGATAATAGTAATATACTACTATATTTTCCAATAGACAACACTACGATAATAATACTACTACGATAGTTGTTCTTTGAACGTTTCAGGAATAAGAGCATGGCATCACAGCAACAGATCAACATGCATCATGCATAAACTCAGAGCATTAGCGTAAACAGAGCACAGCTTCTCTAGGAGCATAAAAACCAGCCGCCAAGGCTGAACCACACTGATTTATCAGCTCTGGTGGAAGATAAAAACACTATCAATTCAAAGACTGGCAAAGCAGTTCTATCTTGTTCACTTGAATACTAGACACAAAAACTTCCACTACTAAACTTATATCCCATAACAAACTCCACTACGGTATCACGCCAGGAGAACAATAACTCAGAACACTCTGTTTGGCTTCCCCATCGTGCTCTTGATGTACAGGCACCGTACCTGCAAAAATAAACATCACGGCCAAGCCAAGTCAACTTGTGTTGGAGCAGCAAATCCAGAAGATGCAACCAAACAGAGGGAGGGTAAAAGTAAAACAGGACTCACGTTCTGCCAGTTCTTCTTCAGCGACGAAACCAGGAATTTGACGCTCATCTGGATGTTTTGCTGGATCTGCTTCTCCTCCATCGACAGGTTGCCCACTGCGACGCCCATGCACAGAACCTTCTTGAGCTGGAACTTGATTGTAGCTTTCGTCTCATTTACTTTTGATTCCCGAGAGTCCTGGTGAGTAACCAAAGTGGGGAACTTGCCTGTGATGACATTGAAACATTATCAATAACCAGGGTCAATACCAGGATATCAAATGTGATTATGATATGATAAAAACTCGTTCCTCATCACATACAGAACCTAACATGATATAGTGCTAGCTAAAAAGATGTAGAACATATAGCACAAAACAGAGGGTTCCGGTTTTAAAGAAAATGAGCCTCCATTACAGAAGTTTCAAGTTTGGCAAACCATGTGGAGTCACTACTCACTACAACCAACAAGGTACATAATCTTGCAACATACCAACTATGCTGTACAAAAAAAAAGTTCCCAGACATATATTCATATGAGTATGCTTAGGGAATGCCACACACATAACTGAAGTTGTGCTCACAAAAGGCTAAAATATACTTTTTCTTACAGAAAAATGGCAAAATTACCATCATATAATTAACAACAATAGCAGGGATGTACAAGGCAGATAGCAACATGAACATAAGCTCATTCTAACTGTCAAGTGCAACAGTCATTCTAATTATGAATGGTGACAGCCAGCAGATGACAGATCAGAATACTTGCCTGCCTTGTTAAGACCAGGACCAAGGAGACGAGGAATTTGCTGGCTTATCAGCTAGAATCTACAGTATTTTTCTCTCACAACAAAACAGCTTCAGCCGGCTTATCAGCTGGCTTATGTATCAGCCGAACAAGCCCAAGCCTCATATGCTAAGAAAGCATGGTACTTCTTGGCAAGCTTCTTGACAAGCTTCTTGTTCTTGTTCATCCTCTTGAGAGATTCAACATCCATGTAATCAAGATCGATCTTCTCAGCCTGCAAACAAATGAATACACAAGCATGACATCATCAGAACAAAAACAAAAGAAAACTTTACACAGAAGACAGTTTCTAAAAGTTCAAAGATTTATGATCCTGTTTCAAACATCTCGATTTCAACAGGAAGTATAAAAGATTGGTCTCATTGCACAATAGTCAACAGCGAGGTAAGGAGGTTCTACCACAGTTTTAACAATCATAGTTCAATAATAATGATATATTTGGCCAAGTAAAAGGATGAACCAACAGCAGCGCCGTAAGAGAGAGGTACTCCCTCCGTATATCTTTTAGAGGTCGTTTTGGACAGATCTACGCATACCAAGGTGTGTTTAATTTTAGTCTAATCTTCCATGTTTGCCCTTATTAAATAGGGTGTTGAGTAGGATCCTAACAGAAATCTCTCTCCGATGGATTGGTTAGTGTAGTCTGTGTTAATGTTGTGGTCTTGAGTTTGATTCCTTGGGCTCCATGTTTTTTTGCTTCGCTGCCTTTTTTGCATGGCGCTGCAGCTTTTTTCCGTTTCGCGCGTTGCTGGCTGCCGCGGATGGAGGGCGCGGGTAGCTTTTCCCTTTCGCGCTGTGCTGGCTGCCGCGATTTTTTTGCTTCGCTGCCTTTTTTGCATGGCGCTGTTGCTTTTTTCTTCCGTTTCGCGCGTTGCTGGCTGCCGCGGGTAGCTTTTTCCGTTTCGCGCTGTGCTTGCTGCCGCGGATGGAGGGAGCGTTCCGAGCGGGAGAGGGCGCGCTCCGTTTTTTCACTGTCGTTTTGCATGCCTATAAATACCGTAGGAACAGGTCTCAACAGTGCACCTCAACCAAATCAAAATGGCAGGAATAGATCTCAATGTTGTACCACCAAGGGATGAAGATCACGGTAAAGTAGCACTTGCCTGTCTCATTTTTTTTTGTAATGACAGCGAGCGCATACCTCCTGCAACTCCGGCGTCATCTGCGACTCCGGCTCCATGTCCGAGACCAGCGCGAGCTCCATGTCCGAGACCGGCGCCAGCTCCATATCTGAGGACTCCGATGCGAGCTCCATCTCCATGTCCGAGCAGGCGCGGCGGCGAGGCGAGCGGGCACGGTGGCGAGGCGAGCGCGGCGGCGAGGCGAGCAGGCGTGGCTGCGAGGCGAGCGAGCGAGATGCCGAGGGCCGCAGCGCTAACGAGGGTCAAAACGGATTTGGAAACCGAGGGTCGCGGCGTGAACTGAGGGTCGCGGCGTGCATTAACTCGAAACGGATTTGGAAACCAATGAGTCAGGGGCAAAGCCGTCTCCTTTGGCCAGCGCGGGGACGAACGACTTGTATTGTGCAACTCGAGCGAACGCCCAGAACGACCTCTAAAACATATACGGAGGGAGTACCTCCTCCACATGTTGCGCATCGCCAAGCATGCAAACCTTCATCATTGGGCGAGGGATGTGGGGCAACTTAACGGAGCCACTGAAACGCTTGTCCTTTTGCGGATCATAGTTCTTTAGTCCAATCTTGAGCTCGATGGTCTCTGTGAAATTCCTGTTCTTCTCCCTAGCCTCCGCAGCGACCTGGGAGATTGCGTCCTTGAGGACCTCGGTTTGCAACTTACTGCAAAGTAGAGCGCAGGTGTCAAAAAGATTGCAGTGTGTCAAAGATGAAGTGAATGTGGTGTGCAAAACACAAAAAATGCCGGCAACTTAACAGTGACGACTACTCCTCACAATGCAGCTAGGTGATGGGTTATTACACTGGTAAAAGGAGCTCAGCTGCATTTAATTACTGGAATTCAGGACTCACAAGCTATGGAGTATGGAGCAGTCTAACACGGTAGACTAGTACACATTTGTATCATGATTCAAGAACATCTAGAATGATCAAGCCACCAACCTCTTGTCAATCTAATATTCTAATCCCAGCATTTTTCACAACTTCTCTCATCATGTACGGACTCTTATCTTTATGCACACAAATAAAATTGTTATGGGTAAAAGAGACGCTGTATTCTCATACTAGGGCGGAGCGGGATCCTACGTAAACGAGGTAATCACAAAAAACTTATAGCACGCGACAATCATGAGAGCACAGACGGTAAGTGCAACAAAAATTGGAGAGGAAGAATGGGTCCAAAGATCGATGGTGGGTAGGTACCTCATGGCGGCTTGCCGATCGCCGATCCGCTGCTGTACACGAGAAAACCCAGACAGATCGTAAGGTCAACACAGGAGAAAGACAAACTCCCACTACCGGAAACAGTCGCTTTGCCGCCCAAAAAACACTCGGCAAAGGATTTACCGAGTGTAACACTCGGCAAACAGCACACGACATCTACAGTGCCGGTAAACGGCTCTTTGCCGAGTGTTTTTTATCGGGCACTCGGCAAAGACTTTGCCGAGAGCTGAAACCGACGCTCGGCGAAAAAAAGTTATGTGACGGAGTGGAGACGGTCACGGTGCGTTTGCCAAGTGTCAAATCTCAGGCACTCGGCAAACCTTCCTTCTATGTCGAGTGTCAAATTCTAGGCACTCAGCAAATCTTGCTTCTTTGCCGAGAGTCAAAGTTCAGGCACTCGGCAAAGCTTCTTCCTTTGTCGTGTGTCAAATTTCAGGCACTCAGCAAACCTTCGTCCTTTACCGTGTGTCAAATTCCAGGCACTCGGCAAACCTTCGCCCTTTGTCGAGTGTCGAATACCAGGCACTCGGCAAACACGTCCCAGAATGCACAGAATTTTGGCTTCTTTGCCAAGTGTCATAGCGCAGACACTCGGCAAAAAAGTCATTTTATTCTAGAAAGCACATATTTTTACCATGTGTCCCTCTTTGCCGAGTGTAATTTCCATGGCACTCGGCAAATAGCCCTTTTGCTGAGTGTAACACTCGGCAAAGCTACCACAAATAATCAGTTTATTTGTTTCGGTCACAGCCACGTACCACATTCAAATAAACATCACATCCATCACAGATAGTTCACAATAGGCATCATAGGCAGTTCATATAGATATATCGACAACACATTAATGCAAATAAATTTCAGAATCACTAGTAGGTTCATTCACAACCACAAATGATCACAAGTAGTCACAGGTAATCCACAAATGCAAATGCAAATAAAATCACTTAGGCCACGAGTTCCACTACGACCACGCTGGGTCATGAGGCTCATTCGATGTCGCCGATTGATGCTGCACAAAGGAGAAGAAATTGCATGTGTGAGTCAAGATTGAACAACACGTATGGTCTCTCTGCTGCCTAACTAGTATAACTCTTGCAACTATCAACAATATCTTCTCAGTTGCATTGTGCTCTAGTATGATTGCTTAAGTACTAGTTGTTAACAAACATATAGCATTAGTCACTAAGTTTATAGTGTCTGGGCATCTTTGTAAGATTGATTCTACATAAATTAGAAACGGTGATTATAAGGTTGTAAAGCGACTCACAGTGTTTAAAACAGTGTTTGGAGCAGGTTGAGGAGGGACTGGCATCGGTGGCGGAGGTTGACCGATTACAACATAAACACCCTTCATATATTCAAACATCTGCAACTCCATCCTCTACCGCTTTGCCTCCATCCTCTACCGCTCTGCTTCCATCTTCGCCTCTAGCTCCTCCCGGCGCCTCATTTCTTGTTCTAGCTCAGCCTATAATATTTCATTCCAATATTACAATGCAATGCAAAAGTATGTAAAAATCAATGAACGATGAATAAAACAAAAATAACATGGAGTGCATTCATCTGAACCGTGTAGAGTCCGACCGTGGGTGTATCGCCGGACTAGAACCCGTGCTCCGTGCTCGAATCTGGGAGAGAGTGGGAGTACTGGCCGTGTTGATTGTGCCGTCGCCAATCTAGAACCGGCCATGCTTCTTGCCTCCTCCCACCCTCATAACCACTTCTCCATTAAGGTCATGGGCGCTCGGATCGTACTCTGGGCCATGGACCACCCTTGCCATCGATGTGTATCCATCGAGGCAACTGTGGACGGACTCGTTGCTGTATGCCGAGGGCGGGTCCTCCGGGTTGTAGGCAACGTTGGACGTTGCCTTCCCCTTGTGGACCAAAGCATATGCCATGAACCGAGAGCAAGGCTCGCCACCGTGTGCCGCCGACTGCAAAAAAAGCAATATGATTAGAAATTATGCAGAGTTGAGCGTTAGAATAAAGAAATGAATTCGCGTACCCATCTAGCCACGTATTCTGAGAGGTTGAGGTTGCCTTGATGGTGTGGTGCACCCGGCATCAGCAAACGTCGCTCCTGACAAGCGTTGTGATTCTCCTCCCACGTAGGGTTGCACCACCTATCCACCATCCGGGCCTAGCACTGCAGATCGTAGGCGCACCACCACGGAGGCACCTACGTCATCAAGTATATGACATATAAGAAGATGAAATTAAGCATAATTAATTTTAGAAAAAATAAGTATTAATATTCTATATTTACCTTCAGGTATTGTTCTGAGGTCAGGCTAATGGTTCTTGCCGCCCTTTTAGGAATCCTCTCTCTAAGAATTTCCGCGTGGTATTGGATCACGACCTAGATGCGCGCCTCGTAGTGCATGTCCTTGATGAGTTTCTTAGTGGCTTTGTCAGCCACAGCATCTGCCTTGGCCTCGTATCCCTCCTCGTATCTAAAGAAATCCTGCATATATATAGACGTGATGTATCTAGTCATTATTTCAAGAATGTCCAATTTATGCGATGTATTGAGCAATGTAGTGCGAGAAAGACTTACCCAAAGCTCGGCCTTGACACACTGCGCCTTGTCGGCGAATACCCTACCATCCCTGTAGGGGACAGCGGCATAGTGGGCCCACGTGTAGGCTGGCTCAATAGTTTCGCCGAACTGAACCAGGCCAGGGAACTTTTCCTTGATCAAAAGACCAAGGATGCCGTTCACATGGCGTGCATGATCACCCCCACTGACCTTCCTCCAACTCCTACCCAAGTGATTAAGATAAATTATTAGTTTCTATTGTAATTTTGAACATATCAAACGAAAAATTAGTGACAACATATAAAGTTACTTACTTGTCTCCATCGGGTCGAATTAGCGGGCGTCTCTCAAGAGGTATCGGTTGCCTCAGGAGGGTCGAGGGACCTCGCAACCACACACGCGACGAAGTAGAGGAAGAGGTACCCCCTGTATCCTCCTCCACCCCTGCCTCCTCCTCCACCTGTACCTCCTCCTCCTCAGAGGATGAGTGAGCGGAAGGTAACTCAGACGGCGACGAAGGTACAGATGACGGTGGCCTCGTCTTGCCTCCACCCTTCCCTCGACCCCTGGGTCTACCCCGAGATCTCTTCCTGGATCCCTCAGCTGCATCAGACCCTTTACGCGTCGCTGTCCCTTTTGAGTAAAGCGACGCTATCCTATTTATACCGCCCACCATTGTTCAATCACCTGCAATTAAAAAGAGTAAACCAATTAGCACAGATAATACATTAAAATAGATGAAAAAAACATACATAGAAAATAACATGGTATGACAAATAATAAATCAGTTAGCACGGATCATACATGTATTAGAAATAATCATCATGATCGGGATTAGCTGGATCATAAGTCTCGTCATCACTATCATGCATGTCGATATAATCATCCCCGTGCTCCGAAGGAGGAATGTTGTCATCACCGTCATTGCTTTGATGTAATCGCTGAAGTAATTCTAAGTCCTTCACATTCTGAACCTCGTCTCCGGCGTCCTCGTCAGCACCACTTTCATTGTCTACTTCCATACCCTAAGCTTCGGTTAAGTCTATCTCAAAACTCCCTTCGAGCCCATCTTCTTGAAAGAACTCTCCATCATATGTGTTGGAGTCTATGTTGTAATCTTGATTGTTTGGGATAGGTAGTTTACCATGTGGCAATACCTTGTACACAACATCCCAACCCTTAAGACGGTCTACAGTTTGGCACGGGTATGAGAGATAATAAACTTGCGTGGTCTATTGAGCCACAATATAGACATCGTCTCCTGGTAAGACGGATGATTGTTGAATTTTGACTAGCCCAAGATTAGGGGTCCGCCTCACTACTTCAGGATCAAACCAATGGCATTTGAATATAACGGGATTAAGAGGTTTGCAACCATGAAACATGAGTTCGTATATTTCTTCAATTCTTCCGTAATACTCAACCCCATCTAAGCCTTGCATAAAAACTTTGGTATTTGTGGTTCTTCGATTGGACCGACTCTGCTCGTGGCTTGTTGTGTGAAAGCGATATCCATTCACGTCATAACCAGTAAATGACCTGACCCTATAGGCACAACCATTGGCAACCTGTCTCAACTTGGCACTCATAGACGCATCAATTTGTCCCTACAAGTTCAAGCAGGGTAGTTCGTTATATTAGTTGCACGTACGAGCAACTTGTAATGTCAAACTAAGTACGAGCCAAATTAGACAGTAGCTTCTGTTTGAACCAAGAAATAAAATCGGGCATTCCATTTCCCGCACCCTCTCTAAGAAGGGTCGAAGTTTCCTGTGGGGTAGGTTCCCTTGATTCACGCTAGAATTGTTCATGAAATTCCCTGTACCAACGAGAAACAAGGGAGTTGGACACATAATTGTGACTACTTAAGAAAAAGTTTGTTGAAAACTTACAGCATGTACGACTCCACTTCGGATAGTTTGGTCAACACATATAACATAATAGTGCGCCACTCTTGATGTTTCAAGGTCTTGTTAGTCGCACCACTTGCACTTCCGAGTTGCCCTCGGAAAATGCTAAGGTTCGATTCATCTTCGCCAGCATTGTAACGAGGGGGTGGATCATGCACGCTAGGAAGCTTGTCAGCATAGTATTTTGTTGTGAAATTTTACACCTCCTCCAGAATATATGCCTCTGCTATGGGTGCTTAAATTTTGCATTTATTTTTACATTTAGTTCGAAGAACCTTTTGAAATCTCTCAATTGAATAGCACCAACAGCCCTACACAGGCCCCCCTATTCGTGCCTCATATGGGAGGTACAAAATAAAATGCTGCATTGGATTGAAGATGCCAGGTGGAAAGATCTTCTCCAACTTGTAGAGCAACATAGGCGCCATTCTTTCCATGTCTGCAACCACGGTACGAGATAACTCCTTAGCACAAAGCTGGCGGAAGAAATTGCTCAACTCCGCCAGCACTATACAGACATGCTCAGGGACAT